CTTCTTTTTTTTTTTTAAGATTTTATTTATTTGACAGATCACAAGTAGGCAGAGAGGCAGGCAGAGAGAGAGGAAGGGAAGCAGGCTTCCCGCAGAGCAGACAGCCCGATGTGGGGCTCCATCCCAGGACTCCGGGATCATGACCTGAGCCGAAGGCAGAGGCTTTAACCCACTGAGCCACCCAGGTGCCCCTAATGTCTGTGTTTCTTACTCCCTTTTTATTTTTCCACACTACATCCTGGATAACTTCTTCTTCGTTAAATCTCAGTTTATTTCTAATCTGTTATTACACTGAAATCTTAAATTCAGTTAGTGCGTTTTTTGGTTTCTGAGGTTCTATTTGGTCCTTTTTCAGATGTGCCATGCCACCATGTTACAGTTTCTTATTCACTGCTGTTAATTTTGAGGCCTGGTTTTTATTCTTTAAACACAGTAAGCGTTGTTTTAGAATCTATGTGTGCCAGTTCCACTGTGTGAATTCCTTTTGGGTTTATTTCTTTTGCTCATTATTCCTGCTTTTTTTCTTCCCACTTCACCTTTACTTTGATGGTTTAGTTCTTTGGGGTATTGGGTTAAGATGGAGAAGGAGAAGGGTGCAGACTCTGCACCTTTTGTGAACTCCTGGCTTTGACTTTTGTTTCTGTTGCTTCATAAGGGCCTCAAAACAGCAGTTTTCAAAGTCATCGTCAGAGAAATCCTCAGTATGAAAGCCAGTTTGAATATTGGGCTTAATTTCTGGTATCAGAAATTTCTTGGGTTTTGGCCATATCTTTTACTATCTGGTTAATTTCTGTGTTTAAGAATTATTTAAAAATTTCTTCCAGATTTTGTTTGTTTTTATCATAGAGGTAGAGGATTGGTCTCAACTACCTAGCCCACTGTTTCTGGAAATGAAAGCCCCCCACCTTTTTAAGATTTTTTGTTTATTTGACAGAGAGATCACAAGTAGGCAGAGTGGCAGGCAGAGAGAGAGGGGGAAGCAAGCTCCCTGTTGAGCAGGGAGCCCAATGTGGGGCTCGATCCCAGGACCCTGGGATCTTGACCTGAGCCGAAGGCAGAGGCTTTAACCCACTGAGCCATCCAGGCGCCCCAGAGAGAGAGAATCTTAAGTAGGCCCCAAGCCCAGCGCAGAGCCTGCAGGGCTAGATCCCAGAACCCTGAGATCACCACCTGAGTCTAAATCAAGAGTCCCACACTTAACCGACTGAGCTGCCCACGTGCCCCAACCCCCTTTCATTTTGATTTTTGGAATCTGAAATTTGTGATTTCAGGGAATCTTGAGTTAAAGATCATTTTTCTCTGTATACCTAAAATTTTCACCATTGTTCCCTATGCAGTGTCCCAGCCACTGTCAACGTTAAGCTTCCCTGGTGCTTTTTTTTAGTCTTCCTTCTGTGAACTCCTCAGTGCTTAGCTTCTGTTCATTCTCTTAATAGCATTTAACCTATTCTTCTTTTCCCCAAATTGCTTACATGCCACCTTTATCTCTTTTTTCTGAATGTAAGTTCCTCATTTGCTAAAAAGTAGAGTACCCCCTGAGTACCTCACACTCTGTGCCGCTTGTACATGATAGGTCACCTGTCAAGATTGACCTCAACAATACAACTGAATGAGTTAGTTGGCCTTGTATGGCTTTTGTAATGCAAAGCCTTTCCCCCCTTATATTTGGTCTTAGGAGTTGGACAAAACCTAGTGGCAATTGGAGGTGTGGGGGGAGTAATTTAGTGTGGTTTATGTTCCAAAGCCAGCCTAGCCGGTAAAACAGTGTATAATCAGAGCTACTTTCGAAAATCTTTTTGGGAGGCATCATATTGGATGTAGGTATACCCGCACAGCAAAATTCCAGCATGGCCAGGTTTTTCCTCCAACTTTGAAACAGGTGCTGTTTTTCTTTAAGTCTCAGGTGAAGTAGCTGGTTTGCTTTTAGGAGTCATAGTGTGTTAAAAAAAAAAAAAAAAAAAAACTAATAGAATCGTACATAATGAAGGAAGTGCTTATGCACTAACTAAGAGGGTTACATGGACTGGAGAACTGAGGATCAGCTAAGGGAATTGGTATTTTATGTTCTCTTTTTCTTCCGGTGCATATAGATAAATTCAGGGTAATTGCACGTATGATGAGACTGTTCTTGTGCTATGGAAAGCTCATGGTATATATAAATTTATTTAAAAAAATTTTTTTATTGTGTGTGTTTTTTTAGATGCCTGGACAACCAGAAGGTGACTACAGATTGCTCTTTATAATAAACATTTTTAAATATGAATGAAATCGCATATGCTGTACGCAGATGTTTAGATTCTTTTAGCCTCCTCTGCTGCTGGAGTATGTTTAATAAGCCTTAGTGTTAGATTGAAGATTCCTTTGTCAAGTAATAAATGCTAGTAGTGTTCCCTGTTAGTAGTTGTCATGCTCTGAAGTTTTAAAATGTATAGGGAGGGGCGCCTGGGTGGCTCAGTGGGTTAAGGCTTCTGCCTTCGGCTCGGGTCATGATCTCAGGGTCCTGGGATCAAGCCCCTGCATCGGGCTCTCTGCTCAGCGGGGAGCCTGCTTCCCCCCTCTCTCTGCCTGCCTCTCTGCCTACTTGTGATCTGTCAAATAAATAAAATCTTCAAAAAAAAAAATGTATAGGGAAAGCCCTCTTGATCTGAATTACTTTGGCCTGGTAGAAGTGACTTCCGGCCAGAAAGCTATTTGGAATAGAGTTGAGTTTGCCAGATGGCAAATTCCTCTTAATTGCTGTCCTGCATTTTGAAGTCCCATGTGACTTAAACATCAGGGTAAAAATGTTGGAAGGGCAATACTTAAGTATATTTACTGATAAAAGGAAAGTAGATTGGCCTATTGTTTTTCTACCCAGACAGAAGCCTTACAACACCATAACACAGAAATTCGATCCCCTCTGGTGTATTTTTATACTACTGTCTGTCTAATGTTAGAATTTGGAGGGAGTAGTGGCCAGTGATGTAAACACTTAAGTAGTCTGCCATCACAGAATTCAGTTCCGTAGGAAGCCAGATCTCATTAACTTGTATCATGGCATTAGGTAAATGGAATAATTTTTCAACTCAACAATAACAGTTACTTTGGGGGTAGCAATGTAAGCTTTCTATCTTGTATAGCATGCTGTGTAAGACACTGAGCCCGTTTTGTAGTAATGGCCAACCTTTCAAAACATTTTGAAAGCTTGTGTCAAACACTGTGCTAAGTGCTTTGTGTGAATTACCTTGTTTATCCTCCCAAAAGCTCTCTGTTGTGCGGGACTGTTTTAATCCCCACTGGGGAGTGCAACCTGTGGATGAGGGAACCAGGACTCTGAGGACCTAAGTGACTTGCCAGGGCATACAGCTTGTAATTGGCAGGACCCAGGCCTCCGGATTTCAGAGTGTAGTATTTATCACTACCTGTGCTGCCTGGTGTAAGGAGACCATCCCAGAACGTACTCGTTATACACTGGGGGGGGCTGGATTAGGTCATAGGGAAAGGCGTGTGGAGTGAAGCGTGCTTCTTGGCTGTGTGTATTTGACAGTGACCTTTTGACTCCCAAGAAAACCTGAATATTTCTGGAGAAGGAATATCCTGAACATTAGCCAGAATACTCAGGAGTGTGGCCCCTTGTTCATGAACATTTCTGTCCCTGTCTCTGACCTCTCCTAACACAGAAAGATGACCAGATAGCCAGGAGTGCCACTGGTGACATGGAAGGCAAGGAGGGAATGATGGTTGAAGCACCAGGGAATGAGGACCTGTGGAAGATGTGTAAAGTCTAGAAAGAGAGGATTGACCAGTGCAAATTCTAATGTTGCCCCTTTTATTTTTTTTTATTTATTTAAAGATTTTATTTATTTATTTGACAGAGAGAGAGAGATCACAAATAGGCAGAGAGAGAAGAGGAAGCGGGCTCCCTGCTGAGCAGAGAGCCTGGTGCAGGGTTCCATCCCAGGACCCTGAGATCGTGACCTGAGCTGAAGGCAGAGGCTTAACCCACTGAGCCACCCAGATGCCCCTAGTCTTGCCCCTTTTAAACTCACAGAAATTCATTATAATTAGGTTGGCCTTCTAGCTTGTTTTATTTTGAGATCAAGGGGATATAAGGATTATAATACTAGTTGTAAAGAGCAGACTTTCCTAAGTGTTCATTAATTTTGACTTTGTGTTTTCAGGAAGGCCTCCCTTTGAGAGCAGTAGTTTCTCTATCAAATTCTAAAGCCCTTGTCTTTCGGTTTCCTCTTTTCAGTATGCTTCTATGTTTATATTTTCGGTAACCATCTCTGATTCCTGGTTTTGTCCCTGTGGTGTGAAAGATGGTTCATAGTTAATAGCACAGACTCAACTCTTGGGGTAGAAGTTGAATTCTAACATGTAGGAGAAAAAGATTGGTGAGAAAGAGAATAAGAATTTCTTGGAATCCCATATGTTTATCTTTTCCCAAAATTGGTAAGTTTTGGGAAGATGGTTATTTCTCTAGAGTTTATATTTCAAATTCAAACCCTCTGCACATGTATCTTGAAGGCTTTGTCCCTTGAATTTCAGGGATCTTTGTTAAAGTTAAGTGGAGGTAGGTTCTTCCTTTTCCAAAAAATTCAGCAGGCCGTAAAAATTAATGATTTTATTTTCTTAATTTTGAGTTATAAGAATAAATCAGTCTGCATTCTTATATAGATGGAAGCACATGAGATTCTAGTTTTTCTTCATTTTGGCCTACTAGAACACTTTTTTCAGTATTAACATATATGTATTTTTTCATTTATTAAAATGTACAATGAAAATGAAGAGATGCATTTAATAGGAATGCCATGACATTGTCATTTCCTAATATTTATTTCCCAGGTTTAAATCCTGCGCACTCTGTTCACTGCTTTGAGACACTATTATTTTTCTCTATTTCATAAGATTAAGAGAACTAGGGATGTTTGGCTCAGAAAAGTGGCAGATTAGGAGGAACGTGGGAGTTGTCTTCAAACAGTTAAAGCATTTTTGGGTTGAGAAAAGGATTTGGCTCCTTTTCTGTAGTCCCAGTGGATGGAACCTATGTGTGGAATTTATAGGGAGACACATTTCAATTTGGTTTAAGGATGAAATGTTCTACTGGTCTGATCTACTTAGGGAGTCAGCTGCCTGGGAGTGAGTGCATTGGTCCCTGTTCCAAAGTTTTAGAATATGGGTTGGATGAAAATCTGGGAATGTGTGGTAGATTCATATGTTGGATGGAAAATCATATTAGGTGGAACATAAGGACCTGACCCTCTCTGAATTACTTACCAGGAAACAAGGGTGAGGGAAAGAAACAGTCAATTTAGGGTGAGGGGGGAGAGCTATAGCCAACTAACAGACAATAAGAAAGGGGTACATCGAGAGTCCAGTGTGTCTCTCCCATTCATGAGAGTCCCAATTTAAGACACTTAAGAATGCGTTGGCTCTTGTTTCATAAAAGGTTATTCTACAGAAGTTGAGGGCTTTTTGGCATGGTTAGCAGAGACAGAATAATTGTGTTTCTGTAACAGGCCTCTGGCTGGAGACATTGAATGAGGCTAAATCAGAGTGTCCAGGTTGTGGGCTTTAGGTGGAAACAATAGCTTCTGCCAATGAATTTGGTTTTGTTTCTAGTAAATTTCAAAATTCTCTCTCGGAGTTGTTATATTCAACTAAACTTTAGCTGCAGTGGGATTTAGGCTAAAACTATTGTCTTGTTCGGAACGTTTGGGTTTGTTTTCTCAGCTTCCATTTTCCCCTTTATTAAAATGTCTACATGAACATTTTCAGCCTGAAATTTGGTATATGAAGAAAGCTGAAATTAACATGTCCTTCTTTTCAGCCGGGTTCCCAGGTTTCTGGGGAGGGGGCTGGTGAAGTGGATAAGAGTATGACTTTTTTATGTCATACCTGGATTTTGTTCTCAGCTCTACCATTTACCACCTTTTATTACCTTAGAAGAGTGACTTAACTTCTCTGGGCTCCCATTTCTTCACCTGTAAAGAGACAGTATTTCTCACAGATCAACGGGAGCATAATGAGGTACTATACATAAAAATGTGTTTAGTACATGATAAGAGGCTCAGTAAAATGGCAGCTATTTTATTTTTGTGCTGTCAGTAGACTTTTTTTTTTTTTTTTTTTTTGGTAAGAGAGCAAGAGTGGTGAGGGGAAGGGGAGAGAGAGAGAGGGAGATAATCTTAAGCAGACTCTGTGCTGAGTGCAGAGCCCAGCGCGGAGCTTGATCCCACGATCCTGAGATCATGACCTGAGCCAAAATCAGAGTCAGAAGCTTAACTGACTGAGTCACCAAAGCGCCCCAGTGGAGACTTATTTTTGTTACTAGAGGTCATCTTGGAATGGACATTGAGTTGTGCAGAGTATTTGCTTGCTCGTTAGGGTGTAATGCTATGAATAATATGAGTAGAGAGTTAATTCCACATTTCTTCAAAAGGAAAGAAATTAGCAAAGAAAAGCAGAAAGGCTTAAAAAGAGTAATGCACACTCTATTATTATTTCCTTCTCCCTTCTTTCTGAAGAGAGGTTCAGGTGGAAGTATCTAGATTTGGGATTTGGGAATCTTGTGCATCAAGATAATGCATAAAGTGGCTGAGGTCATGGTGGGAGTGAGAAAAGAGAAGGACTGGAGATAGACTTTTTTTTTTTTTTTAAGGATTTTTATTTATTTGACAGATCACAAGTAGATAGAGAGGCAGGCAGAGGGACGGGGGGAAGCAGGCTCCCCACTGGGCATAGAGCCAATGTGGGGCTTGATCCCAGGACCCTGAGACCATGACCCAAGCTGAAGGCAGAGGCTTAACCCACTGAGCCACCCAGGCGCCCTGAAGATAGACTATTTAATGGCATAGATTTGTAGCTCACAGAAAGGAAGGTCAGGAAAGAGATGGAGGACTCAGTGTAGGCTGGTGCAGAGGACATTGAATCTGAAGTTGGGAGGTCTGGGCTCTAGTTTCACTTTCTCCATTTGGGGTTTTGTGTGCCTTTAGGCATATCCCTTTCCTGCTATACAGACTAGACTTCATCTCCAGGGCTCCTTGAATACCTGAGTTTTTCTATTCTGAATCCATTTGGAAACAATAACATGCAAATGGAGATGGTGGAATGTTCCTGAAACAGGAATTTCAAGAAGGAATAATGTCGGAAGTCACAGAAATAAAAGAAGTGAGATCTGAGAAAAAGATAGGATGCCTGGGAGGCCAATTTGTCTAGAGACGAACCAAGAAATATTTGCAGTGTTGGACTTACTATGGAACAGCACGTGATGAGAATCATTCCAGGTCCTCTTGCTGACTTCATAAATAACATAAAGGTTAATAAAACTGCCTGATACATTAAGAAAAATGTAATCATGTGCTTCACCAATGATCTATAAATTAAACGACTAGAAGATTTCTTCAATTCAAAGTTGAAGGGAATTTTGAGGTAGTCTGTTGCTAGGTGAGACAGAGTTAAAGCTCCTTGTTTCTCTTTAGAATTTTTTTTTTCTTTTAAAGATCTTATTTATTTAATTGACACAGAGTGAGAGATCACAAGTAGGCAGAGAGGCAGGCAAAGAGAGAGAGGGGGAAGCAGGCTCCCTGCTGAACAGAGAGCCTGATGTGGGGCTCGATCCCAGGATCCTGGGATCATGACCTGAGCCGAAGACAGAGGCTTTAACCCACTGAGCCACCCAGGCACCCCTCTCTTTAGAAATTTAATTGCAGTTCTCACTTAAAGTGTTTCATTTGTTTTTTGTAGACCTATTGCTCCATTATGGATGGAGGGGATGATGGTAATCTTGTTATCAAAAAGAGGTTTGTGTCGGAGGCAGAACTAGATGAACGGCGCAAAAGAAGGCAAGAAGAATGGGAGAAAGTTCGAAAACCTGAAGATCCAGAAGGTATATGGGCTTATAGTCCAGCATTCAACATAAAGATCTCTAATCTTCCTAATAGCCCTGCAGAGTAGGTACTTATTTCCTAACTTTGGAGTAAGGGGGACTGAGGCTCAAAGGGGTGCAGGAACCCACATAAGGCCTCTGTGGCCACAAGCAGAACCAGGGTGCTCACTGTCCACTCCACTTGCTGCCTTCCAAAAGATTCTGCTAGTCCCTTCTGTCTATACAGGTGGATATAGGATCTGAGTGACTGAGAATGTGGCTAGTGACTGAGAATGTGTAGGGTGGGGCTGGCCCCCCAATCCAGTTAGCGCGTCTCAGGCTGTGGGCCCTCTTGACATTGGTAGTTGTCTTTGAGAACTACTGGCCCCTCTCTGAGCTCCCAAGGGAAGCCATGGGCTTTGTACTATTTTTGTGTTATCCTTGCCCTCAGATCGTGCAGAGACTTGATCTTTAAAATCCTTTGTGCTTCCAAAATAATGTGAAAAATTCTAAAGTATGTACTTTTTCTTCTCCCTCCCTTCTCCCCTCGCCCTTCCTTTCAGAATGTCCAGAGGAGGTTTATGACCCTCGGTCTCTCTATGAAAGGCTGCAGGAACAGAAAGACAGGAAGCAGCAGGAGTATGAGGAGCAGTTCAAATTCAGTAAGCTTCCGAAAACAGTCCGACACGCCGCAGGGCCTCTTCGATGCCTTTTGCTTCATGCGACACTTTTTCCAACTAGCTATGGAACTGTCTTGATTGTCTAGTCTCTAGACGTTCATTTGGTGGAAAAGAGACAACCTTCTGCTTTCTAGACCACATTGAGCATTTTTGTTTAGAGCTCAAGATACCCATTTTAATTCTGTGCTGATGTCTGGTAATGGGAGAAGTGCCTTGGTTTTATGCCATGTTACCTCTCCAGAAGCCGAGGTGTTTACACATTCTTTCTTCTAATCCTCTAAAAGATCTGCTATTTGTTAAAAAAAAAAAAAAAAGGAGAAAGAAAAATCTTATTTGACCGTTTCCCCCTTAGCTTGCTAAGTGTTCCTTATTTGGTTATTTCCTCAGAAAACATGGTAAGAGGCTTAGACGAAGATGAGACTAACTTCCTTGATGAGGTTTCCCGGCAGCAGGAGCTCCTGGAAAAGCAACGGAGAGAAGAAGAACTGAAAGAACTAAAGGAATACAGAATATCCTTTGTACTTTGAGAGAAATCTGTACGGTGTCCCTTCTTCTCATCAACGTCTATGGATTTGAGTTTCTTTTTTTTTTTTTTTTTTTTTTTAATTTTTAAAATTATTTATTTATTTGACAGAGATCACAAGTAGGCAGAGAGAGAGGAGGAAGCAGGCTCCCCACCAAGCAGAAAACCCGATGCGGGGCTCTATCCCAGGACTCTGGGATCATGACCTGAGCCGAAGGCAGAGTCTTTAACCCACTGAGCCACTCAGGTGCCCCTGGATTTGAGTTTCTTCACAAATCGAATGAAAATAAGGTTTTTCTGCCCAGTGACCCCTGCGTTTCCTTTCAACACTGGTGTCCCTCTGACTGAATTACCGGAAGTGATTTATGGGGTTATGTTGCATGTGAGTCTGTTGCATTCAAAAGTCTAGATCCTTTAGGATTAACTAAAGGCCTAAATCCTAATAGTCAGTACCCGGGTATTTTTGCCTTGAGGGATTAGACTCTGAAACAGATGGGCAATGCAGAAAACTCATCCAGGGGAGAAATTGGCTTCTGAGTTTTAAAAGGAAATGTTTAGCAACTCTCCTTTGTCCTTATTAGGACCTTCCCTAGAAGTGTAGCCTGGTCTGTCCCCACAGAAGGGTAGAGAAAACAACAAAGATGACTTAGGTTTGGCTCAGTGTTGCCTTTTTCTCCTCTGCTTGCATTAAATAGGCATCCCATCTAGAACTTGGCCGAGTCCGAATTCTCAATTCTGTGTGCCACACCCCTTGACTCATCACACTGCCCTTGCCCCCACATCTCTTCTTTTTCTGCTCTTTCCGATCTCAGTAACAGCACTCCTATGCCCCCATGTGCCTGGGCCAAAAACTACTTCCAAAATGTACTCCAGATCTGTGCAGTTCAGCTCCCTCCGTGCTTCTTGGGACCACTGTGACCACCAGATTAGTCTCTGCTTCTGCTCTTGCCTGCAACAATCCATTCTGCAGACAGCAGTCAAAAGGAACATTTGAAAACATATGTGGAATTATGTCACTTTCCTATTTGAGACACTAGTGGCTTCCTGTGGCATTTAGACTTAAGTTAGACTTAACCAGGCCCTGCACAGTTTAGGCCAGTCCCCCTTCCTGTTGTGTTTTGAACTCACTCTTTCATATTCACTAGACTCCAGCCTATCGGTCGTCCCTCTCACACTGAGCTTTGTGATTTCATTTCAGGGCCTTTGTATTTGTTTTTTGGTCTGGAATGCTCTGCCTTCAGATTTTATAAGGATGGCATTTTGTAGCACTTGGGTGTCAACTCACATCTCCTTCCTCCCAGAGACCTTCCCTAGGTACCCCATCTAACATTTCACTGAACCATGTCACTGTGTATGATGTCACCTTTATTTATTTATTTATTTAAGATTTTATTTATTTGACAGAGAGAGAGAGATCACAAGTAGAGAGGCAGGCAGAGGGAGAAGGGGAAGCAGGCTCCCTCCCCACTGAGCGGAGAGCCCGATGCGGGGCTCTATCCCAGGACCCTGAGACCATGACCTGAGCCGAAGGCAGAGGCTTAACCCATTGAGCCACCCAGGCGCCCCTGATATCACCTTTTAATAGTAATTTTCACCATCTGAAAATCTCAATTTGCTTACTGGTTTCTTTGCCTCTTTACCACTAGAATGTAAGATGCATAAAAATAGTGACCTGGTCACCACTGATTTCCTTAATGCCTGGCATGTAGGTTCTTATTGTATATGTGAACAAATTAATGAATGACTCTTAGGAGAGGTTAGTGAAGCCACCACAGCTTTTTTCCTATGAGAATGCTTATTTGACTATTTCAAGCTTGTATGTTGAATAATCTCACTAGTGTGATTGAATAGGCTTTACCTCTAAAAATGAATGATACAGCTGCTTGTATGTGCTAGTTGGTATTTTTTTTTTTTTTTTGCAGGGAGCATGTAGTATGTCCCATTAAAGAGTTATATAGGAGGGGCACCTGGGTGGCTCAGTGGATTAAGCCTCTGCCTTCAGGTCAGGTTGTGATCCCAGGATTCTGGGATCGAGCCCTGCATCGGACTCTCTGCTCAGCAGGGAGCCTCCTTCCTCCTCTCTCTCTCTGTCTGCCTCTCTGCCTACTTGTGATCTCTGTTTGTCAAATAAATAAAATCTTAAAAAAAAAAAAAGAGCTATGTAGGAGAAGGTGTGGGCTGATTCTCAGGGATTTGGTTTAAATCAAGGTGACTGATAGTGGCTGAGATAAGGGGGCAGCATGGGTGCCCCAAAACCTGCTGTGAACTGATAGCAAAAGACATGGCTTCCAGTCCCAGAGTTCCTAGTGGAATTTGGCATGACACTGAAGATCGGGAAGTCACACCTCAATCCCAGCTGCTGGATTGAGGCTGACTCTTCTGGAGCTCCCCTCCCCTCCTACCCTCCCTGGTGACTCCAGAATAATAGTGTGCATTGATGTTTGTAGGGGGGGGGGGCAGAAAGATGGATTGAATTGTGTCAGGCTCCAGACTTTTTCCCCAGGAAACGTATTCAGGAAATACGTTAATTATACCAATCACTAGAATAATGTCTTCTTTTATGTGCTTAATTCGGCAGCTTAGCAAATAAGCTGCGTCTCCCAAAGCAGCGTTCTGGGGAGTAGTGTTGGTTTGGTGTGAATGTGCAGGGCCCCTCAGTTTTCAGCAAAGGGAGGAGTAAGTAGGGCAGCAGTAAGGGGGGAGAAGCTTTCCTGCCCTGCTGACATTACAGCACAACATTGGGGAGGCCCCAGAGGTGTTGGATTTTCTTGGAAACTTGGTAAGTTCTGACTGTCTAGCACTGGACAGCGTTCTAACCCACTGATGCATAAAGCAGGCCTAGGTAGCCAGAGACATGTCGAGATGGAGGAGATGGAACTGAAGGGTTAGCTGTTTGTTTCTTGAAGCTCTAAGTCAGGAGCTGGTTCGATCGTTATAATAGGACACATTTTATGATGTGATACTTGTGAAGGCAGAGAAGCTGTGGTTTGTGCCGTAGAAACAGAACTCTTGTTTGCTTTAACAATATTATATGTGTTAAGAACTATGTAATTTTTAAAAGTGCCTCATCTAATGAATTCTTTGATATTTTTGAGGGGTGGTTGTGTTTTTAAAGCACTTTAGGGGGAGAGGAACTTAAGCATAAAAATGGCTTATGCTTTGGCTATGGATCAAAAGTAATAATTTAACCCCCCCATGTCCCCCAAAAAGAAAAGATTAGAGGCTTTTTTTTTCCACTTTAAAAGAATAAAAAGTGAAGTGCTGGTTTCTGCTTGTGTCCTACTATTATAAAAATGCATGTGTTTTGTTGTTAATTTTTTCCATTTTTGTTTTATTTTTCAATATTAAGAATTCTGTAAGACTTTATCCCTTACCAATGGAGTTGCAGGTAAAAATCTGCATGCTGGGGGTTTTTGTCATTTGGTATTAGAAGGACAAAATGTGATTCTTTCATTTTTATTCTAGAAAACCAAACGTGTAATGTTAACATATTACCAGCTTCCATGTTGACTTTGAAACCTGGTTTCAGAAACACAGAATAGTACTAAGCATTTTGCATAATCCCCATGAATACTGCAAATATTTAAGGTAACTAGTGCCTGTAAGAACAGAGTTAGTGCCTGAAGCGTGATCAGAATGAGAATTTCCTGAATTCTGGTACCTGGTTTTCTTAGTGCTCTGCCCACCTGCTTGGGCTGATAATACCTGCTTCTTAGATTTCTTGGTCACTAGATGTCACTATTGTTCCAGCAAGGCACTGCTACCTCTTAAAGAATTGCACCACATTCAACACTTAAAATTCTTGCCTAATGGATTGTGAGAATATGAAATGGAAGGAGGGGAAGGGCTGGTGGAGAGAACAGAAGAAAGTGACAGACCTTGACACCCAGCGATTGGTCTCATGCCTGTAAGGAGTGAAGTTACAAGTGAACTGGTTATACTTTATTTTTTTTCAAAAGATGTGTTTATTTATTTTAGAGAAGGAGAGAGAGTGCACATGCGACCATAAACAGGAGGGGCAGAGGGAGAGGGAGAGAGACTCTCAAGGTCTCAAGGAGCGAGCTCCAGAGAAAGCATGAATAGGGGGAGAGGAAGAGGGAGAAGCAGGCTCACGGAAGAGTAGGCAGAAGACGAGGCAACTTGATGCAGGGCTTGATTCCAGGACCCTAGGATCATGACCTGAGCCAAAGGCAGATCCTTAACCGACTGAGCCCCCCAGGTTCCCCTTGTTGCACTTTTAAAAACATTTTGGTTCATGTGTTGTATATGCACTGGGGTTTCTCATTAAGATCACCTTGAAGAGAGGGGCGCCTGGGTGGCTCAGTGGGTTAAACCTCTGCTTTCGGCTCAGGTCATGATCTCGGGGTCCTGGGATCGAGCCCTGCATCGGGCTCTCCACTCAGCGGGGAGCCTGCTTCCCTCTCTCTCTCTCTCTGCCTGCCTCTCTGCCTACTTGTGATCTCTGTCTGTCAAATAAATAAATAAAATTAAAAAAAAAAAAAAAGATCACCTTGAAGAGAGGTTTAAAACCATTTCCTGGGCCTCTGGAGGTCCTCATTCAATAGATCTGAGACAGGGGAGGGACTCTGTTTTTTAATGAGCCTTAAGGTGCTTCTGACGTTGTCTTGTACCAGCAGAGGAATCCGTCTTTGTGGTGTCCAAAATTGAACGCCACTGATGGTCCTAGGACATTCTGCAAGATTTGATTTTATCCTTGAGCAAAAAAAGCAAATACTTAAAAATTTTCAGGGAAGCCACATTTTTTTCTGTGACTTTTGTATTTCTTAAGATCTTTGTTTACCCCAGCAAGCTGTGGCCCTGTTTTGGGGGAGGTTTTCTGACTGTAATTCAGATTTTCACTGAGATTCAAAGGGGAAAAGTTTGCTTTTCTGTAATATATTTGGCTTGATTTGCCTTCTTCCTCCATGGTTACCTTCATTTTTCTTCAAATCAGCTGGGTATGATGGGCAGAATAAAGAGGAAAGAGTATTGTTTTTGATATAAACAGACTAAACATTACATGGCAGACCGGAAGAGCTAGTGGATTATGTGTCTCCCCTTGACTTACCATTGTCCTGCTATAGCTCTTTTTGTTTAGTTTGACCCTTAACCTCTAACACAGTAATCTCAACAAAGTTGGAATTTCTCCGGAAAACAAGAAGGAGGTGGAGAAGAAAGTGGCTGTGAAACCCATAGAAACCAAGAACAAGTTCTCCCAGGCCAAGCTGTTGGCAGGAGCTGTGAAACATAAGAGGTCAGCCAGCACTCACACGACTTCAGTCTCCCTTTGACTGTGTACTCTGAAATGCCACTTACAATGGTAGCCGGAACAAACGGTTACCTAAGCGGCAGTCTTAGTGACATTTCTTTGGTAGCCCTACCGTTCTCTCCCCCTCCAGATTTGGTGTGTTCTGTATTCTTGGAGGCTTGTCTCTGATCATTCAGCAGGGTAACAGCTACTCTTCATTGGGCACCGGGTCATGTGGCAAGCATTGTGTTAAGTGCTTTCCATTGTGTTAATGATCTTAACTCTTTCCACAAGTCTACGTAGTATAGGTTTAACTGTTAAAAACCTTTGTCCAAGGTCACAAAGTAATAGGAGAGGTGGACTTCAATGTTTGAGCATCTGTTTCTAAGCAAATGAGATAGCGAGTTGTGTGAAGGGATTTGGGTAAGGTGTCATGGGAGCAGGGAGGAGGAAACCCATAGCTCCCTGGGAGGGCGTTAGAGGGGGATGTTGACCAGGTAGATGACTAGGGCTTTGACAGGCAGACAAGGGGGAGAACATCCTGGGCAGCGGGAATAGCAGCTACAAAGGCACTGTGGCCTGTGAGACCATGGAAGCTGTGACTGTGGCACAGACCTGACTGGGCTCCTTGCTGATTGATGTGGGGTGGCGGCACGGCCTAGAGGTTTTGTAAGTTCTGTTTTAGTTTTGCTCCTCCCTGCTAAATCCTGAAATGGCTCCAAAGTAATGAAATCTGGTTGTTTCAATTTGACCGACGATACCATGGATGCAATAATGTTACTCGTTAGTGCAGTCTATTAGGAAAATCAATATGGCAGCCAGCCACATGTTTTCAGGGGAGTGCCTTGATGCACTGTTGTGGTTTGGTGCCCCATCCGTCTGCTGCAGATGTTCCTAGGAACATTACTTCCGTATAAAAATGTTGTCATGGTTTAGCGGTGCAGGGGAGGAATAGTAGTAACCTGAAAAGGGCCAGTTACCTGAGCCATGAATTATTCCTTTCAAGTTTTTCGTGGGAGGGGCAGGCAGAGGGATAGGCCGGGAGAGAAAGAACGTTAAGCAGGGTCTACACCCAGCGGGGAGCCCGATGTGGGGCTCCATCTCTCAACCCTGAGACCATGACCCGAGCCGAAATCAAGGCAAATGCATAACTGACTGAGCCACCCAGGTGCCACTCTTCCTTTTAAGTTGACAGAAGCTTTCATGCCTGGTCCAGTGTTATTTCGGGATTTGGTTCTGGGTCGTTTTACTGGACTTCTCCAAAGTGGACAGTTAGATACTTCTCAGCAGTGTCTTGCTGTTAGCAGAATAAATGTTAGGACTGCCTCCCTTACTTAGTCCTTAGCTCACCTTTTATTAGATCATCATTTATTGTTGTTTTGTGTGGCAAGATGCTAAATGAGTCTCCTGGGGCAGCACTTCCTCATCTACCCAGGCTTGGGTTTATTAGAATCACCCAGGAGTTTGTTAATGTGAATTCTAGGCCTCTCACTAACTCTGGTTCATTAAGTTTGAAGTGAGCTCTTGGAGTCTAATCTTTGAAATCGCATGGATGATTCTGGTGCTTGTGAAAGAAAGTCTGATGGCGGTGTGTGCCTAGGACATGATCAGCTGACTGAGCCAACCTCTGTGCTCCCTTTTCCTACCCTGCCATCCTCACCCCATGTTTCCAGATCTGCTTGGTCATTCTGCGTGTCTTTACTTTTAGTAGTTTGGGGGTGTGTGTGTGTGGGGTGGTTGTGTTTGGTTTGGTTTCAGCTACCTATATAGGTATCCCTAAATAGTATAATGGCTTCCTTGGTTTTGAACTTTATAAAAATGATTTCATTCTGTATATGATCTATGAATTTGGTTTTTCACTCCAGTTGTTTCTGTGATTGAAACAATTTTGTGTGTGTGTTCACATATATATAGCTGTAATTCATTCATTTTCCTTGTTGCATGATGGTGCTTTATATGAGATACCAAAATGTGTCTGTTCTCTTGTGGATGCGTGTTTGAACCATGACAGATGGTGTTGAAAGGTCTAGGGCATGCTTTGTTATGTATGTGCAAATGTTTCTCCAGAGCTCTGCTGTCCAGTATGATAGTCCATGGCCACCTATGGCTATCTAAATTCAAATTAATTAGAACTAATTTAATTAGTTCTAATTTAAAATCCAGGTTCTTAGCCACACTAGTCACATTTCAGGTGTTAAATACCCACTGGAATTAGTATGTGGCTAATTGCTGCCCTACTGGACAGCACAGATACAGCGATATATAATGATTTTGTAAAATACTGTCTCCTTGTGGTCCTAATTTGCATTTCCTGGTAACAAATGTAGCTGACATATTTTGTATGTTGATTTACCATTCCTATGTCCTATTATGTGGAAAGTCTGTTCATATATTTTGCCATTTTTCTACTGGATTATTTGTATTTTTCTTAATGGTTAGTAGGTTTGTTTTTTTTAAATATGGCCCTGACTTTTTTCTTGCCATTTATATCTTTTCTTTTTACTTTCATTAGTTAATTTTAAGGTGGTCAGTTTTTTGTTTTTGTTTTGTTTTTTAAGTAGGCTCCACTGCCAGCATGGAGCCCAACATGGGTCTTGATCATGACCCTGAGATCAAGACCTGAGCTAAGATCAGGAGTCGGATGTTTAACCACCTGAGCCACCCAGGGCCCCAGAAGCTAATTTTCTAGCAACATTTACTAAATATTTCTACCTTTCCCCAGTGACCTTCAGTGTCACCTCTGTCTTAAATCCTTGGGTTTGTATGGGTGTTCCTTGTTTCTGTCCCTTGGGTCTGTTGGACCAGTACCACTCTGTAATTATTGTAGTTTTTATAAAAAAAAAAAAATCTTGGTATCTGGTAGGACAAGTCCCCTTACATTTTTCTCGGAGGTGTCTTGTCTACTGTTGACCACTTTGTTCTTCCATATACATTTTAGATTTTGATTTGTTAAAATTTTAGATTTAGATTAAATTTTAGATTAAGGTCTCTAAGTTTATTGGGATCTTACTAAATGGGTTGATGAATTTATGGAGAGAACAGATCTTTATGGATGTGAGTCCTTCTACACATGGCATATATCTACATTTATTTGTTTCTTTAATGTCACTTGATACAAGTCTTACAGATTTTTTTCCAAAAGGTTGTATTTATCTTTTGTTAGATTTATTCCTAGATGTTTTAGATTTTATTTTTCTGCTGGTTTATAAAAGTGCAGTTGATTTTGGAATATTTACATCTAGCCACTCAGCTCTTACTAACCTGAGCAGTAACTCTCTAATAACTCTTACTAACTTTTATCCGTGGATTCCTTTGAAATTTCTATGTAGAGAGTCACTATCTGTGAATAATGACAGCTTTATTCTCTTATACCTTTTAACTTCCTTTTTTTCTTTTAAAGAATTTATTTATTTATTTATTTATTTATTTGATAGAGCACAGAGGAAGTGGGAGAGGGAGCAGCAGACTCCCCACTGAGCGGGGAGCCTAATGTGGGCTCAGGACCCTGGATCATGACCTGAGCCAAAGGCAGATGCTTAACTGACTGAGCCACCCAGGAACCCCTGATTTTTCTTCTTTTTTTTTTTTTTTTCCATATCTTACTGCACCAAGCAATTACCACCAGTAAAATGTTAGAAACAATTATTGTGCACATTCTTTTTATTTATTTATTTATTTATTTATTTTATTTATTTGTCAGAGAGAGAGAGAGAGTGTGAGCACAGGCAGATAGAGTGGCAGGCAGAGGCAGAGGGAGAAGCAGGCTCCCTGCTGAGCAAGGAGCCCGATGTGGGAATCTATTCCAGGACTCTGGGATCATGACCTGAGCCGAAGGAAGCCGCTTAACCAACTGAGCCACCCAGGCGTCCCAACTGTGCACATTCTTGTTTTAGACAGAGCATTTATAACTTTTCACCATTAAGAATAGTTATTGTTTTTGTTTTTTCAGATCTCTTTTATTTTTATTTATTTATTTATTTAGCTCATGAAGGCTTTATTACAAATTGTCATATTGTAGGTTGAAAAATGAACTTCAGACGCTGATCAGATATATTTTAGTAGTTTAAGGAAATTATGTTCTTAGTTTGATAAGGTTTTTTGTAGCCACAAATTATTACATTTTGTCAATTTTTTTCTGCTTTTGAATTGGTGACTTTTTTTTTACTCTGTTATGGTGAAAAATTTAAGGATTTTTCTATGTTGTATTCCTGTGATAAAACTAGCTTGGCTGGGGTGCCTGGGTGGCTCATGACCTGCCTTCGGCTCAGGTCATGATCTCAGGGTCCTGGGATCGAGTCCCACATCGGGTTCTATACTCGGCAGGGAGCCTGCTTCCCTTTTACTCTCTCTGCCTGCCTCTCTGCCTACTTGTGATCTCTGTCAAATAAATAAATAAAATCTTTAAAAAACAAAAACCAAAAAACTAGCTTGGCTGTGATGTGTTATTTTAAAATTGTTTTGGCAGGGCGCCTGGGTGGCTCAGTGGGTTAAAGCCTCTGCTTTCGGCTCGGGTGGTGATCCCGGGGTCCTGGGATTGGGCCCTGCATCGGGCTCTCTGCTCCGTGGGGAGCCTGCTTCCTCCTCTCTCTCTCTCTCTGCCTGTCTCTCTGCCTACTTGTGATCTGTCAAATAAATAAATAAAATCTTAAAAAAATAAAATAATTTTTTAAGTTGAAGTATGATTAACATACAGCGTTATTAGTTTCAGATGTATAACAATGATTCAGCAATTCTGTGCATTGCTCAGGGTTCTCTATAAGTGTAGTTACCAAACATTATTACAATCTTATTAACTATAATCTCTATGTTGTGCTGTATTATAATTATTTTTAACTCCACTGGGTTTGGTTTGCTAATATTTTGTATAGGTTGTTTCGTCTGTGTTCATAAGTGAGACTTGGTCTCTTCCCTCCCCCCTCTACTTTTTCTGATTTTGATATGAAGATTAAAAGTAGCTTCATAGAAGGATTTAGGGAGTGTTCTTTTTCTGTTCTCTGGAGGAGTTTGTGTAAGATGGTAATGTTCTGTTTTGTGAAAATTTGGTAGAACTCCTCCATATAATAATTTTGGTCCCTGCTTTTTAAGATTTGGGATAATAGGGCTATTTAGGTTTCTTCATGTATTTTTTTTTTTTTTAAAGATTTTATTTATTTACTTCACAGAGAGAGATCACAAGTAGGCAGAGAGGCAGGCAGAGAGAGAGAGAGAGAGAGAGAGGAGGAAGCAGGTTCTCCGCTGAGCAGAGAGCCCGATGCGGGACTCGATCCCAGGACCCTGAGATCATGACCCGAGCCGAAGGCAGCGGCTTAACCAACTGAGCCACCCAGGCGCCCCTCTTCATGTATTTTTTGAGTCAGTTTTATTTAGTTATGTTTTCTGGGAGTTTGTCCATTTTGTCTTGTTTCACATGCATTTGCTAAAGTTAGTATTTTTTTTTTCTGATTGCAGCTTTATCTATAATTGTTCCCTTTTTCATCCCAGATATTGATGGATTATTTTATTCATATTTTGGCTAGTTTCTTAATTTCTCCTAACTTCTTTGGGATATTCTTTACTTCCCTCAAGTTTATTCTCTTATAATTTCTGTTACAAATGAGTGTCAGATACCTAGCTAATTAATTTTCAGCTTTTCTTTTCAATTATAGGCACCTAAAACTAATTCTTCCTCAGCTTTTATTGTACACAATTATGTATTTCCAGCTATTTTTAAATATCCATTATGGCTTCTTCTTTGACTCCTAAATTAGAAACAGTTTTTTAAAGTTTCCAAACATATTGAGGTAACCTAACTATATTTCATAGGTTCTAAGATGAACCTTCCCCCCACACACATTTTTTAAAATAAAGATTTATTTATTTATTTATTTATTTGACAGAAAGAGAGATCACAAGTAGGCAGAGAGGCAGGCAGAGAGAGAGGGGAAGCAGGCTCCCTGCTGAGCGGAGAGCCTGATGCTGTGTTCAATCCCAGGACCCTGAGATCATGACCTGAGCCAAAGGCAGAGGCTTAACCCACTGAGCCACCCAGGCGCTTCCCCTCCCTACCTCCACATTTTAACACCTTATAGCAGTGGTGTCTTAAGAGTCTGTGATACGTAATACTTGTCTTTTGTTGCTGATTTCTGCCTTACTTGCATTGTGGTTTATATGTACTGATTTTTAAATTGCTTTAAACTCGCTTTGTGACCCATTCCTGAGGTTAATATTTGTGAATATTCTAAGTGAGCTTGAGAAGAATCCGTGTTTTGCAATTGTTCTGGTTTTCATGTAGGTAAAACTAAAGAAGCTTGTTAATTGTATTGTTTAAATCTGTGTTTTTACATCTTTGTCTACTTGCTTTCTCAGTACTTGAGTATTTTGAAATCTCCCATTATAGTGATGTTTTCTTGATTTTTCTTCAGAATTCTGTTGTATATATATTTTAAGCTCTTTAATTAGGAGCATACATGTTCAGAATTGTTGTTTCTTCATAGTGAATTAAAATGTTTGATTATAAACTAACCTACTTTATGTCTTACAATGTTTTTGCTCTTAAATTCTTTTTCCCTAAAATTTTAATAGGTAGCTCAGCCTTCTATGGGTTAGTATTTGCTTTGGTAACTCTTTTACTCTTCTTTTGTTTTCAGTCTTTCTGGGTCTCAAGTTTTTGTTTTATTTTTGTTAAATTTTTTGGTGTGTCTTACAAATAGCTGGTTTTAAATTGAGGATGTTGATCTTGTTTTACAGGTAGGCTTGGATTTTTTAGCATTTTTTTTTTATAGTTTCTGCTATCTTAATGTTGTCATTTTACCTTAAAAATATTTTTTCCTCATACTGTTTTTTAAAAATTACAAATTTTAAAACCTTTTGTTCGTTTTCTTTCTACTAGTTTCTGTGTTCTGTTTTTGGTGGCTAAATTTGCAGCTTACCAGGAATACTTTGCAAAACCTTAAGTTAAATAGCTATCTTACTTTCCTACAAAATTATACATGGACCTTAGAACTTGGAGCTATAATCACGTCTTCCTTACATGCTACTACTGCCCAGGACTTAGTATGGTCATGTTTAACACACAAATTAGATTGTATTTGCCGGTTTCTTTGTTCACTAACCCTTCCTTCTGTGATTACGGCCTTCTTTCTGAGATCATTTCTTCCTAGTTGAAGTGCTTTTTTTTTTTCTTTTTTTGACTGCCCTCAATATTAGCAATAATGGTGGAGCTGGAGGTATGATTATGCCTTCTCTACGCTACACAGCAGGAGAAATACATTCTTTCGACATTCAGTGAAGATCTTTTGGCTGACTTTCAGAATCTCTAGCATGTCACTAAAGGAGAGATTTCTGTTAATCTTTAAGAACTTAACTAAATTTTTGTCTTTTGTGAATGTGTCCACATACTCCTGCAGTCCATCTGTGGTTCTAACCAAGATGAATGATAAGGACAACAAAGAATCTGAAGTTTAGGTGATGCTTGAAGATACAATGCTCCACTCCTTGAATTGGCCAGGGGTTTAAGTTGTTTTTATAACAATAATGTAACTGGAAGGAGATTAAGAACCTGAATGAAGACTTTTCATTTCAGACCACCCCTTTGAGGCTACCTGAGACCCATATAAATGGTTATTGGAGCTCCTGATTCCTGAAGTTTTATTATTTTATTTTTTTTTAAAGATTTTATTTATTTATTTGACAGACAGAGATCACAAGTAGGCAGAGAGGCAGAGAGAGAGGAGGAAGCAGGCTCCCCGCCGAGCAGAGAGCCCGATGCGGGGCTCGATCCCAGGACCCTGGGATCATGACCCGAGCCGAAGGCAGAGGCTTTAACCCACTGAGCCACCCAGGTGCCCAATTCCTGAAGTTTTAATCCCCAAGATTGGACATAGCTCAAATTACCGTATTTTTTGTTACAGCTCAGAGAGTGGCAACAGTGTGAAAAGACTGAAATCGGACCCTGACCCAGATGACAAGAGTCAAGGTAGGTGGCAGCTTCCATTTCACTATTTATTCATAATACACGTGAACCATAGTACAGGGCTGGGCTGCATTGTATCTGTGAAGGAATGCATGGATCTCTAAGCAAGCTTTTTTCTACCAAGCAGGATTTACACCCACGAGTATGTCAGCTGTCCTGCCGATCAATATGTTAGAAACCCAGTGGAATTGATAAATGACAATAGTGATCCCCCAGAAGTGCTTCCATAGACAAAGCCCTGGTCATATCACTCCTGCTCACAAAGGGTTTCTCTCAGTCTCCCCCAAATGTCAGGTTTCTTGATTTCACTGGCCGGCTACCAGTGAGAGGTAGAATGCCTGGCTTTTGCTGATCTTGGATTGGATTGAGGCTAAAGGCTAATATAGTTTCACAGAAGTACACTTTCACGGGTGGTTACTTGTATGCAATCAAATCTGGCACTGTATTAAGTGGCACAGAGTAGTTGGAAGTGAAGGTGAGTGTTCCTGAAGGCTGGATCAGGGATGAGAAATTCAAGAGTGTTTTTAGTTCTACCTGTGACCCCCTGTGGGATTGAGATGGTGTGCTAAATTCAGTGGGTCATCTCTAAAACAGGGCTTACATTTATTTCTCTCTGAAAAAATAATGGATATTTTAAAATAATGTATTGGCCAAGTAACTGCAATTTATTTATTTTTAAATATTCTATTTATTTATTTGACAAAGAGAGGTCACAAGTAGGCAGAGAGGCAGGCAGAGAGAGAGGAGGAGGCAGGCTCCCTGCTGAGCAGAGAGTCTGATGTGGGGCTCGATCCCAGGACCCCGGGATCATGACCTGAGCTGAAGGCAGAGGCTTTAACCCACTGAGCCACCCAGGTGCCCTGTAA